TTGTTTTATAAGATCTCTGGTTTCTCCAATAATTCAGCTCCATATTGAGATTATTTACAGTGTTCATGAATGACCTGGGATTGACCAGGAATGGTAATGAATGGTTTTCATTTGGGGGTTCTTTTTTGAAAGTAAAAACCAAGGCACTTGAAAAATAAAATTTTATACAAAAAGATTTAGATATTTCCTGAACCCTAATTCTTACATATGTGAATACTCTTAAAGTCTGAACCTTCTTATTAATGTCTAACAATATTTGTGCCACTCCATGTCAAGGAAGGTGTTGACACCACCATTGCAGCCCTCCAACAGGGAGTAGCAGGAACTGGCCTTAAGAAATGGGTGGGGTGATCCTAGTACATATTGTGCTGACTTCTGATTAAAGGGCAGTGTATAAAAGAAGAGTGGCAGATGGTCTTGTGCTTTTTTTTTTTTAATCTTTATGAGCTTATCATTTTATTTCTATAAAGACCTGAAGCTTTGAGTAGTCAGAGATATTGATCTCATTATGTCGAAGGACAGTACCAGTGTCACACTGTTTATACATCGCTGGTAAGTGAGATGCTTTTTATCCCCTCCTCTTTCATAGCCATCATCCTATCCTCCTCCAGCAAATACATAATTTTCAATTCATCTCTCTCCCCACTTAAGTTAGGACATCTATTCTTTTCTAAAAAGTATCTGGAGATGGTTCAGGATTGTATTCAGTAACTGAAACTTCCATAAAGAACATGTTTATAAAAACCCTTCAGCTGTCACCTCACTGAAAAAAGAAAAAGAGAAACATGAAATATTGTCTGTCAACTACAAATGCAGTATAGTATAATTTTGTTTCCCATGGTTGAAATAGGTAAGTGTGAAGAGTTTAGATGTCAAACTCTTTTTCTTTTAACTTTTGGCAATGGATCCCATGAACAAATTAATGTGTGGCTTTTGGTGATTCACAAGATAAACAAATGGGAGAAAAAGTTTTAATTTTCCCAATAACAAGGATATTATTACTTCCAAAAGAAATGTCACTTATAAAGAGCCCCACTACACCCTATATTTTATGTTCTGCTGAACTTTTCTTTATCTATATCATTTAGTTACATAATTGGTGGCAACAGGTAGACGCGTGAAACAACATTAAACATTTTAACTGATGGAAATACTCAGCATGCTATAAAAATAAATCTTGATACAAAAGATATATCTAAGGCCAGGAGCTGTTGCTCATGCCTGTAATTCCAGCACTTTGGGAGGCCAAGGCGAGCAGATCACGAGGTCAGGAGTTTGAGACCAGCCTAGACAACACAGTGAAACCTCGTCTCTATTAAAAATACAACAATTAGCTAGGTGGTGGCACACACCTCTAGTCCCAGCTCGGGAGGCTGAGGCAGGAGAAAGGCTTGAACCCAGGAGGAACCCAGGAGGTGGAGATTTCAGTGAGCTGAGACTGAGCCATTGCACTCCAGCCTGGGTGACAGAGCAAGACTCTCTCAAAAACAACAACAACAACAAAAAACTAAAACAAAGACAAAAGATATGTTCAGTAAACTTCATATACAAACCCTAACAAATGACAAATTCAATTTACAGGTAATTAGCTTGAACAAAACATTAAAAATTTTAAAGCAAGTTATGCTACCATCAGAGCATTGGCAATGGATCAAATTCCTTACAATGTTGGTCAAGTCTTAATAGACAAAGAAAGCAATGTGAATAATTGTGAGTTTTACTTTCTATAATACTCTCAATCCTGGATTGGAGTTTGAAAGATAGGCTTTCCAATATATCTAATGTGCCATGTGTTCAGGACCATCTGAAATACATGATGTTCTAGGCCAAGCAAGTAACCTCCTAAGTAACATGTTTAGACTGATGGGATTCAGAACATGCTACTGCAGAATATGGTCCCTTGGCATAATGAATATTTTGAGCTAAAGAAATGTGACAAACAACAGATGCAGGAAGGACTCTCTGATTCACCCCTGAAGTAGGCCATAAGATCTTACTACAAGAGGTGCCCTCTATACCTAGAGGAAAGGACCATGATTATCTCTAAAAATAGAGAAACAGTAAGAGGTATCTGAATGAACGGGCCTTGCTGTTTAGTTTACTACGCTTAGCTCATGCCCTTTTGTTTGTGTCCGCTATCACATTATCCCATGATTTTCCACTTTTCATCAAACCTAGCATAAAAACACATAGGTTTACCCATTTCTTTGGGTCTAATGAGGGTTTCTGTGTCACATAAAGCTTACATTAAATAAATCTGTATATTTTTCTCTTGCTAATCTGGTTTTTGTTACAGAGCCGGGGTAAGAACTTAGAAGGATAGAAGGAAAGGATTTTTTTTCTTCCTCTACAAGATCTTGTTTTAACTAGCAGTTTCCTTTTTTTTTTTGGAGACAGTCTCACTCTGTCTTGAGAAAAAAAATACTTGAGTTCAGAAGTTCTACAGCAAAATATGGCATCTGGAAAATTTACAATAGCTGATGTGACCTTTTATACACTGACACATTCAAAATGAAGATAAATATATAGGATTTAGCAAATATTAAAGAGATTTAAATACTGATGCTGGATAAGGCAGGAATGTTTTTAAATTATTTCCTTTGTTACACAGCATTAATCTATTAAAATGCTATGACATAAATGTTGTTTATTGCCTATGCTTCAAATTCTTTTAGGAAACAAAGAGAAAATGAAGATGGATGATGAAATCTTAAAATACCTTTATAGGAATAAAAACTTGTTGAAATTATTCAGAAAGCTACAAATCTTGTACAAGGCCTATTAACTAAAACCACATGATTTACTTTGCAATCAATATCTAATTTTTCTATTAGAGAACACAATAAATTCATTCATGGAAATCTAAAATTGGGTAACAAATAGTTGACAAATTTCTTTACTGCTAGTTTGGGCCACTAAGCATAAAACTCATCAGACTTGTTTAAAGTGTTTTCCTGCGGGAGGAAATGCTAGAGAACAGGAAGAAAAGACTAAAAGGAGCAAGAAGCCGGTAAAATATTTAAAAGGGGGGTGGATCACACTTATAATCCCAGCACTTTGGGAGGCTGAGGCTGGTGGATCATTTGAGGTCAGGAGTTCGAGACCAGCCTGGCCAGCATGGTGAAATCTTGTCTCTACCAAGAAAATACAAAAATTAGTTGGGCATGGTGGCATGTACCTGTAGTCCCAGCTACTCAGGAGGCTGAAGTGGTAAAATTGCTTGAACCTGGGAGGCAGAGGTTGCAGTAAGCTGAGATTGTGCCATTGCATTCCAGCCTGGGTGATAGAGTGAGATCCTGTCTTAAAAATAAATAAATAAACAAACAAACAAATAAATAAATAAAAAGGAGGTTCAACTATACCTATAATAAATACTAAATAGTCTGTTCCAAAAGAGGGTACAAAAAAATCTAAAAAGTTTAAGTTAGTTTATCCTTCTTTGACGCTTTTACCTTTCAGTGTTTTACTATTTTGAAGTAAACAAATGATTTTAGATCTCGAGTTTTAGATTTGCAAAAGGTTAACAAAAATTTTTAGTAGAAATTAGCAAAAGTCATATTCTATCTATTTTTTTTTTTTTGAGACAGAGTTTCGCTGTTGTTACCCAGACTGGAGTGCAATGGCACTATCTCGGCTCACCGCAACCTCTGCCTTCTGGGTTCAAGCAATTCTCCTGCCTCAGCCTCCTGAGTAGCTGGGACTACAGGCACACACCACCATGCCCAGATAATTTTTTGTATTTTTAGTAGAGACAGGGTTTCACCTTGTTGACCATGATGGTCTTGATGGCTTGACCTCGTGATCCACCCACCTCGGCCTCCCAAAGTACTGGGATTATAGGCGTGAGCCACTGCGCCCGGCCTTCTATCTATTATTTAGACTAGATTTCTAAACTTTAAGCAAAATTTTCTCCCATAGAGGAGGAAGGAATGCATTCAAAGATGAAACTATCGAATAGTCAGAAAAATAAGGCAACAGTGAGAAATTATAGTCTAAATAGCTACTATGTAGATTACCAAATTAAATCTTATCATGTGAAAGGAACAATCCTAATTTTTATTTAAGATAATCACTTTTCTCTTTCATTCAACAATTACCCTCCAATACTGTCCTTACACAGCTGAGCTGAAGGATGTTAGGGAGCTATAAAGGATGCACAGAAGGCTGATAAGAGAACCCCAGAACTACAGAAGAGTTAAGGCTGGGGTGGGGTAGCTCAAGGCTGCAATCCCAATTACAGGCTCATGACTATAATCTGGGAGGCCTAGGTGGGCGGATCACCTGAAGTCAGGAGTTTGAGACCAGCCTGGCCAACATGGCGAAATCCAGTCTCTACTAAAAACACAAAAAAATTAGCCAGGCGTGGTGACAGGCACCTGTAATGCCAGCTACTTCAGAGGCTGAGGCTGGAGGATCACTTGAACCTGGGAGGCGGAGGTTGCAGTGAGCCAAAATTGCACCAGTGCACTCCAGCCTGGGTGACGAGCAAAACTCCATCTCAGAAAAAAAAAAAGGAGTTAGGGATAGAAGGATCAGAAACAAAATCTAAAAATAAATAATATTATAAGTTATCAATCTAGTGATTCATTTAAAATATTTCACCTAAGCCATTCAGTAATCCTCATGAGTTGAACTAAAAGGTCTGATCCCTTTTAAGAATTAGTAAAGATAATCTATGGCACATAGTATTACCTTACCAGTAGGAGATAGATCAGTGGAAAACAGTCTCTTCTTGGCCCTAACCCACCTTTCATGAATAAAGTTCTATAAAAATGATGCATATTTATAAAAGAATGGGGCAGAAAATGAATTTACTTTTTAAATCTGTCTGCTTTCACAAACCAAGATTTAGCAGGCAAGATGAAATTCTACAAGGTAGAATGGAATTTTTTCTATATTTACTTTAACATTTATTTGGACACAATGTTGAAAATCAGGAAATGAAATAATAAATTATGATACACATGCCACTAGTAAGGCAATGAAGAATCTTAACTCACCATTTTTTAGGTTTTGATAATGGTTTGTACTTGCTGTATTTTACACGCCACTCAAGAACTTCTTTACAGTGCTGACATACTCCATCATGAAGTTTTGCATTAATTTTCTTAAAAACAAACAGAAAGACAAATTGAGAATTTCATGTGACCCAGCATTGTAAATCCCGTAAGTGTATGAGATGTAAGTTTTAAAATATAACTGAACCTTAATCTGCATAACAATTTATGACATATTATGTATTTTTATGTACATTACTCAATTTGTTTATTGTTTTTTTACAAAGGCAATGGTTCTTCCCCGCCACCCTGCCCCCATACAGAGTTTCACTCTGTTACCCAGGCTGGAATGCAGTGGCACAATCTTGGCTCACTGCAACCTCCACCTCCCAGGCTCAAACGATTCTCCTGCCTCAGCCTCCCAAGTAGCTGGGATTATAGGCGCATGCCACCATGCCCGGCTAATTTTTTGTATTTTAGTAGAGACGGGGTTACACCATGTTGCCCAGGGTGGTTTTGAACTCCTGAGCTCAAATGACCTACCCACTTCGGCCTCCCAAAGTGCTGGGATTACAGACATGAGCCATGGTGCCTGGCCAGCAACGGTTGTTAACTAGGTGTAGCTCAGAAGCATTAGAATATTTATTTTTGAGACAGGGTCTCACTCTGTCACCCAGATTGGAGTTCAGTGGCACAATCTTGGCTTACTGCAGCCTCCACCTCCCAGGCTCAAGCAATTCTCTTGACTCAGCCTTTCGAGTAGCTGGGATTACAGGCGTGTGCCACTACCACCTGGCTAATTTTTTTGTATTTTTTAGTAGACACAGGGTTTCACCATGTTGGCCAGGCTGGTCTTGAACTCCTGTCCTCAAGTGATCCACCCACCTTGACCTCCCAAAGTGCTAGGATTACAAGTATGAGGCATTGCGCCCAGCCCTCATCTAGAAAATTTTTAACCTCCCAATTGATTCTGATGTATACATGTGTCAAAACTCAAACTGCCTAGTTAAGATATGTATATTTCATGGTATGTAAGTTATATCTCAATAAAAACATAATAATAAAAAAGAAAACCTAGCTCATATTGAAGACTATTATTTCTATAATTCAAATCCTCCCCATAAGTTGGAATTAAACGGAGAAATTGGGCTGTCCTGCATTGTCAGTTTGTAGGGGAGAACAGACTGAAATTTGAGGAAGGGGTGTCAGACAGAAGCAGCTGGAAGCAAAAAGGCATTTCATCATTCAATTTTATCCTTTTGAATTCTCATGTTAAAAAAGTTTTAGAAAAGTTACCTCTACTAATCTGGTTTCTTCAAAATTTAAAAATATATATTCGCATGTGACTATCTGTGGTGGAGAAAGGGCTTTATAAGGAAAAGATCTTATTACAATTTTCTTTTCAAAATATGTCAGGAAAGAAGGCAGGAAAAATTTACATGTGTCATGTATTTTTCTCTAATAGTTTCATATTTCTGTAACATACTCATTAGATTCAGGACATAGACTATCTATTTTTACTGAGTACTCTGAGAATTCTCTAGTTTGCTTTGGCTTTGGAAGCTTGGTCTTTGCCTATTGTTGGAATAATGAACAAAAGACATTTAAAATGTTCTTTGCTTCTTTTGTTTCCTTTTAAAATTTCTCAAGGAGAGAAAGAAATGCATCACAAGGATGCAGATTCTTTGGGAAGCTATTAGATATTAACTTAAAAGCACAATGTTTGGATCAGATCATCTGAAAGAAAAAACTTTTAAATAGCGCTTGATATTCTTCAAAGTTCTAAACAAGAAGATAAAATATCTGATAAAATCTTTATTCAATGAGAGAATCAGGAATATTGCAAAAAACCATAAATTAAACTGTGAAATATATTCCATTTTATTTAATTTTTCTGCTTCTTCATGGAAACTTTACCATCAGGACGTGTGAATATATTGTGATTGCGTTTAACTTTGGGATGAGAAATATATTCTGTTACTTATGAATTGTATATGGGTGTATTCCTTCCTTCCAGACATAGATGGAGAGTCCCAGTTCTGCATGCTACTATAATCCCTCCTTACTCTGGGCCCCTAACTGCTTCCAGAAAGAAGGGAATCTGTACCTACACAACAAACTTCTCTTCCTCTCAACCTTGGTACTTATTAATAGTTACCATGGATAAAGCTAGCTAAGAAATGCAGAATCAAAGTTCACATTCAGCATTTGTCTTCTCCGTTCTCTAGAACATCTTACTAAGCATTACTTATATTTCCTTAACTGAATGACTTTGAACTATGACTACAATATGAATGTGATATTAACTTCCTAATTAGAATATTCTTGGAACACATAACATTTCATTTTCTGCAATTTTTTACATTTAACACATTCTGCTTAACTAGGAAGCATTCTTTGGTTTCTTGTTTGTTTCTGTATCCAATTTCTGACAAGTTCATCTTGATTTACAAAGCTGTGCATAGTTTGGAAACTGGTTTCTTTAGGGTGGATCAACAGTAGAACAAAACAGGTCTTTGTGGGAACTTGTCCTGTGAGTGATGTATGAAGCAGTATAAATAGATATGTTGTACAGAGTTCACATGACTAACAGGCACTACTATCAAATTAAACTTGATTTTTATGTGTTAACAAATTAATGAGAGTAAGCATGAAAAAGAATAGTACTTTTCACTTAAAAATAGATGCAGAGAAAAAGAGAAATATATACCTGTTTTACCATATTTTGGCATAACAGAAGTGAATTTTCCAGAGATGTGAGCAAAGAAAGTTAATCCCAGTTTTAGGAATCCTTCTGCCTGGGGCAAAGGAAATTACAATCTGACCTTATTCACATTTATATTTACAACTTACCCTATTTTGGCAATTAATTTTAGTATATCCCTCATGGTAGAAGATCATAGATAATTAAGGTTAAGATTTAAGGATGCCCAAATACAAAATCAAAAGTTTTATAAATACAAAAGCCTATAAAGGTCATTTAGTTCAAAAAGTTACTTTCCAGATTTTTGAAGAGAAAAAAATCTTCAGTGGAAGAGTCCACTGAACGTAGGAATCAGTGAAAGAAACCCTTATTTATCAAATGAATATTTTTCAAAGTTAGAATAAACTTAAGGAACAACAAAAGACATGCCTAATTAATATATACATAATGTCTTAGCCACCATTCATACAACTTTTTTTTTCTTTTTTTGAGACAGAGTCTTCATTCTGTCGCCCAGGCTGGAGTGTAGTGGTGCGATCTCAAGCTCACTGCAACCTCTGCCTACTGGATTCAAGCAATCCTCCTGTCTCAGCCTCCTAAGTAGCTGGGATTACAGGCATGCACCACCATGTCGGCTAATTTTTATATTTTCAGTAGAGATGGGGATTCGCCATTTGGCAAGACTGGTCTCAAACTCCTGGTCTCAAGTCTTCTGCCTGCCTCGGCCTCCCAAAATGCTGGAATTAAGGCATAAGCCACCACACCCAGCCCACACGACAATATATTTTAAAGTAAGTGTTGTTATTGCTGCTTTAAGCATTCTATTTGTTATCAAACAATACATCTTTAACACAGTAATGCCATACAGAAGTTGGGTGAGAAAGGACTTCAAATCCTGAGAAGGTAGCAGAAGCAAATTGTAAATATTATATCTGTATCAACATGCTGATGCTGAAAAATATTTTATAAAATATAAAGTATCATTTAACAGAAAGAAGATACTATGGTAGGTGAAAAAAATTTGAATACCATTCAAAAGCAAGTAAAATAATTTTTCCTTAGGATTTTTTTTTGTACATAATAATTATTTCAGAATTTCCAAAGGTAAAATAAAGGCCTAGTTACTCCTCTTAATTGAAAACAAACAAACAAAAAAAAAGAAATCAAAAAAAGAAATTCCCAAAGAAAAATGCCAGTGCCAATTCCAACGCTAAAAATCTATTTCCATAAACAGACTTTGTTCTTTTCCCTGTATTACTCATCCCCTAAAATAAGGTATTTTATGATACTACTGCTACAACGTTACTCCAGAAATAGAAACTTTTATATCTTATCTAATCATATTTTTAAAAGTACATACTTTCAAATTTGCTAGAAGCAGCCCCTTAGTCTAAGTTTGGCCTGGATTTGGGGCAGGAATTCAAATAACTAATAACAATAATATGAAAATCTGACTTTTAGGCTGTGAGTTTCAAATCATAGACTACATTTTTTAATGTCCTTTAAATGTAGCTAAAACACTGTTGGGCATAAAGTATCTTACAAAACACAACCAAAAAATAGAAGAGGGAATCAGAATCAGAGAAAAGTAAGGGCAGGAGGGAAACTGCAAAGCAGTCAGGAGTGCAGCTGGAAAGTACACTTGCTAGAGATGGGCCACAAATGAGATCCGAGCTTTCTAGCACCCAGTAAAACATAACTCAATGTCTGTAACGTGCCAAAAATCCAGTTTCTCAGAAGCAGCACAGCTATTCTTGTTACTGAAATGTAAAGTTTCATCTTTCCTACACCATGTGATACAGTAAGCAACGCTCTCAAAAATGTCCTTAAAACATAAAGCATTTCACAGAACTGTTTTCTACCCTGGTTCTCAATGTAGGCCAGTGTTACAATGCCTAAACAGAGTGCAACAAAGTTATTCTTAGGCTTACAATGTAGGTACAAATTCCTGATAGTCATGGAACTGTAGTAATGCACTGCATATCATAAAGCCATCTTCAATAAACACTATTTCTCTCAACTGAACTCTAAAAGCATTCCCTTCTATTATGAGAAATGTCAAACTTGCAGAAAACAGTGAAAACAATACTACTAATACATACCATATACACACTCTCAGAGGTAACTATTAACATCTTACCTTTTTGCTTTTTTTGTGTATGGGTTCAGGTAAAATAAGTTATGAACATCAAGACAATTTACCTCTTAACACTCATCATATCCTAGCAATAAAGACTTTCTTGTACTTAACCACAATACTGTTATCACACCTAAGAAAAATGAAAAATAACTCCTTAATATCACTGCATGTAGTCAGTCTATGTTGAAATTTCAACTGTTCTAAAACAGCTTTTAGAGCTGTTTTTTCCTCCCCAAATCAGGATAAGTCAGTATTCAAGTACTGTT